CTTCAGGACAATGAAAAAATAAATTTCTGTTGTTTAAAGCCCCCCATTTTGTGAGGCTTTGTTATGGCAGTCCTAGGAAACCAACATAGCCCTGAAGGAGACACATGGAAAGAGTCAGCATGACTCCCCAGGCAAAATGATTCTCTAACTCATAATGGTGTGTGGCAGAGCCCCACCCTACTGAGCCCCACTCGATGCCCAATGTGCACATTTGTTGTATCTAGCTTAGGTCAGTCTTGGTCATAGGGTACTACCAGAGGGGCCCTAACTTGGGCAGGGCATGGTGTGAAAGCACCCTGGACCCCAAGTTGGGCAAAGAAGAGGCTAAAAAGGACTCACGGCAGAGCTAGTTTCCACTATTCTTTGCCTGTCCCTTGAATATCAGGCATGTGTATGAGTGGATGGAGGAGCGGGGGCAGACAGGGGTAGGGTGTTAGACTTTATAAGTCCTGAAAGTCAAAAAACGGATTGAATCCTTTCTAAGGTTTACAGTAGTATTTGAACAAGGGAAAAGTTGAGAGAAAACATATGAACACCACCTATTTATCGCTATGGGAATGAGCTCATTTTCGGCAGGTTGGTTGTCTTGTACGGAATGGTGTGAACAGATATTTCCTTGCGCTCCAATGTTAACACCTTAACAGCTGTCTGTCAGCCATTATTTCTCAGTACCATTTTGCCATGTGGACCAGGCGTGAATTCTTTATTTATTTATTATAAGAAATAAGGTGCAAGCAGTTCATGTTCTCAGCTGCTAACCAAACGGGTAGCAGTTGAAGCCGATCCACAGGCACTGTGGAAGAGAGGCCTGGTGACCTACTTATGAAAAAGCAGCCTTCGGAAACTGTACGCATCACAGTTCTACTCTACCACCCACGGTGGCACCATGAGTCCGAGTCAACTCTCCAGCACCTGGTACACACCAAGAAGAGATTCTGGCTATAAGAGAAGGAAGATGATTTAACTGGAAATAAGCCTGCAAAACTCAAGGGAGGCCGTTAACAGATGACAAAGGGAATACAGTACCTCAAATGCTAGGGTGTGGCAAGATGGCAACAAGACAGATTTCAGACCTAAATGGAGCAGAACAAAAACTGATGGGAAGGGGGCCAGAAAACTACAAGCAGTGACACTCCAGGAATGAGGGCAAACGTTTGGTGTCTCCATGAGGAAAACGTGAATATTCTAGGACTCCCAAAGAAGTATTCGCTGTGTGCTTTTTAAACTGATTTTATTTCAAAGGAAGGTCATCCATCAAGTCTATTTGAATGCTCAGGACTAGACAAACTGGCTCTTTAAACATCCAAAATGTATTAAGAGTTTATTTTAGTTTGTTTTTTCTTATAATATTTAAAGTTTTACATTGCTATAAAGCAGGACAGTATGTATGTGATTCATGTTGTTGTTGTTGTTGTTGTTATGTGCCATTGAGTCAGACCCTACTCATAGTGACCCCTCCTTGGGTTTCAGAGGTGGTATCACTATGGAAGTAGATTTCCCAACCTTCCTTCCAAAGAGTGGCTAGTGAGTTTGAACCACCAGCCTCCTGGTTAGCAGTCAAGTGCCTTAGGCACTACGCTAGCAGAGCTCATAGCTCCCCTCAATTCCAGGAGGGAAACTGAGGGCCCAAGAGGGAAGCAATGTGAGCATGACCTTCAGTGTTGCTCAGAGGAGGGAAGTTTGGCAAAGTCAGCCCAGAGAAGGAGCAAGGGGAAAAAGAAAAACTCACTGCCACTGAGTTGATGCCAACGCATGGTGATCCCTAGTGGGTTTCCAAGGCAATCAATCTTTATGGAAGCCCATCTTCCTTCCACAGAGCAGCTGGTAGGTTTGAACCACTGATCTAGTCAGCAGTCAAATGCCTTAGGCACTATGGCATCAGAGAGGTGGAGGCTAATGCCATCTCAGTTTCTGAGGCAGTATTTTTACCGAAGTAGATTGCCCAAACTTCCTTCTGAGGAGTGGCTGGTGGGTTTGAACTGCCAGCTTTCTAGTTAGCAGTCAAATGCCTTAGGCACTGCGCCACCAGAGCTCCCAGCCATCTTGTTATAATTAGCTTATTAAAGACCAGTCCACAGGGCTCTTATCCACTACTCATTCTATGGATGTGAATGAGCCCAGCAGTATCTTCTCTGGGGACTTGACTTGCCACAGCAGAGGATGACACGGCCAGAAAGAGCTCCTCCCCATCATTCCCGCCCATGGACTAACAGCAAGGGGCTGTCTCGTTGTTTACATGCTGGTGGGTCCTGCCTGTTACCTTTGAACACTGCTGCTCTGCTGTGCATGTGCTGAGTTATACCCAGAACTGTACCAGAAATGCACCTCAAGTGTGGCCATTAAACTCTTAGTAGAAAGAGGACAAGGAGCTAAAGTGTAGCCCTTCATATGCTGGTCAGAGGCAGATTACATCTGCTTCTGAGTAGTGGCTCCAAATGCAGGAAAACTAAGCGAGTGTATATTCAAGTCTCTGGAAGAGTGGGTTATTTCTATTAGATATTAGGAATCTACACAAACCATGACCGAAGAAGAGTTGATGCTTTTGAGCTGTGGTGTTGGCAAAGAATACTGCAACTACCGTGGACTGCTAAAAGAACAAATAAATCTGTCCTGGAAGAAGTGCAGAGTGGACAGTCAATGAAAAAGAGGAAGGCCCCCAACAAGATGGATTGACACGGTGGCTGCAGCGATGGGCTCAGGTATAGCAAGGATAGTGAGGCTGGCACAAGGCTGGGCAGTGTTTGTTCTGTTGGACATAGGGTTCCTACGAGTCAGAGACGACTCAGCGGCACATAACTACAACATCAAAACAAAGCAGGAAAATACCTACCACTATTCTTATTCTCATCAATATTAACTTGGCTCAAACACAAGATTTAAACAGACTATTCAAGAGAGCGTATGTAGTATGCTTATGTCTGATTTGATCTGGGTTCTTTAACCTTATCAATAAAACAAAACATTTGCCATCCTTGAGTCAGTTCTGATTCCTGGTAACCCCATGCATGTTAGAGTGGAACTGTGCTCCATAGGATTTTCAGTGGCTAATTTTTTTAAAGTAGATCAGCAGGATGTCCTTCCAAGGCACCTCTGGGTAGACTTGAATGCCCAACCTCTCACTTAGCAGCCAAGCTTGTTTTACACCACCCGGAGGCTCTTAAGGAGATCTAGTGGTGCAGTAGTTAGAGCATTGGGCTGCTAACTAAAAGTTCAGTGGTTCAAACTCACCAGCCTCTCCATGGGAGAAAGATGAGGCAGTCTGCTTCTGTAAAGATTTACAGGCTTGGAAACCCAATGGGCAGTTCCACTCTATCATATAGGGTCATGATGAATTGGAATCAACATGACAGCTGTGGATTTAGATTTTGGAGACTCTTAAACGTGT